TGAACAGTGATCACGTATTTAACTTCACTGGAATGTGCAGCTCAGGAGGCAAATTGCCAAGCTAGTCTTCTTTAACTTACAGATTGTCAAATTGCACAGAACTGCTTAGCTCTTGACATGACTCCTGCCTGGAAATCTATTTCCACAACACCCTAAGCTAGGAAAATGATTTTTATTCTTTTGACCACCGGGTAGTCATTTTTGCTATCAAAGGAAAAGCAAGACTAAAGTAACATCTGCATGTTACTCTCTCACAAAAGTCCTCTCAATATACAAGCAGGACAGCAGGTGTGCACCTGTAAGCCTCAGCTCTTCTCAGAGGCTGAGCCAGGAAGATCATCTGAATCCACGAGGTCAGAGTAAGTCTGAATAACACTGTATATTTCAGAACAGGAAAATCCAAAGTACGTTTGCTTGTTAAACCTTTATGAAGTGTGAGAATGGTAGGTGGTGAGACGGCAGGAAGGGAAAGGGAAATCAGCTATCAAAGCCGACTCCAAGTCCCTTGAAATTGATTCTCTCAGTGAGAAGTGCACCCAATTGGGTGTAGCTAGATCAAGAGGGAGATGGCCAGGGGGCCTGGGTGTGGTGGAGCTTATCCAATAGAACTGCCAAAGAAAATCCATCTACACCGAGCGTGGAAAAAGATCAACTTTTTTTCATTTTAGTATTATTTATTTATTTTGGTTCTTTGAGACAAGGTTTCTCAGTGTATCCCCGACAGTCCTGAAACCAGGCTGGCCTCAAACTCTCACGATCTTCGCCACCTCTGCTTGCTGAGTGCTGGGATCAAAGAACCACCACCCAGTTTTGGTTTTTTTTGTTTTTTGTTTTTTGTTTTTTTTTATGTCTGGAAGCCTGGCTACTCCATATTTTGGGAACTGGGGATGTTGGATTTGGGGGTGCAGTCCATGACCAATGTTCTAAAAATGTGTGTATGTGGGTGAATGAGAAAAAGAGATAGTGTGTGTAAAGACTATGCACCAACATACCACCTGGCCAGACAGCCATGCACGCGCGCGCGCATGCACACACACACACACACACACACACAGAAGCAAACAGATGGATACATAATTAACAAAGCTCTCTAAAGGAGACCCAATGCCAGATGGATCAGAAAAGACTCACTGAGCTCCTTCACGTGTTTTCTTTCACGTGACAAGAGATGCTGCAACAGGCTGAATGCAGAAGACAACTGAATTCTACTAAATGAAGCAGTGCTTTACTATTTGTTCTGACTTACAATGTCATAGTGAATGCCAGTACCTAACCCACAGGAAGAAAACATCTTTAGGTTTGCTAGGTGTGTAGAAAGGTCTTGAGATGAGCCAGTTAATATTTAAGAATAATTAACTTTACATCACCACAAGTCATGTAAACAGTACAAATTTGTCACGACTGACACTACCATTAGAAATTATCTGAAGACTCAATTACGAGTGGAGTCTGAGTATGCTGAGCATCAAAGTTACTGAACCAGCAAAGGCAGTGGGCTGACACGCTTGTCTTTTGAAACCTGAATCACCGTGCTATCCAAAATAACTTTTGTCGAATTCTCACTTTCTAACTTTGATTGTTGTGGTGGCTACCCTTGGTTGTCAACTTGACTGCATTTGGAATTAAGTAAAACCCAAATGACTAGGCACACTTGCGAGGGGCTTTGGTTCTTAATTAAATCATTTGAAATGGGAAGACCCACTTTTAATCCAGATTGGTTGAGGTGGAAGACCGAATAATAGCTAACATTTGAGGGCATAAAGCAAGCCCAGGAATAGAACTAAATGCATGATGATATTATCTCATTCAATAATTTTGAAATAAATCTTAGTATCATTATTTTACTATTTGCTCTCTTAACCCACCAGAAAATACAGACTGATTTAGGCAGGATTCTCAGATTCCAGGAACAAGTTTGTTATCCACCTCCAAAGCTAATGCTCTTGGACATTATAATAAAAATCATTTTAGAATGTTCAAAAGAAGTTCATCAACATTATGTCAAGCAAAGCAAGCCAGGCACAGAAAGGCAAATATTGCATGATCTCACATGACCTCTGAGAGCATTAAGACAGTGGTTATCAGAACCTGGGAAGAGTGGGGAAGAGAGGTGGTCTTTCTACAAATGTCCCCTTGATTCTGTCATTTAGGCAAGCCATAAACTCCATTGCCTTATCACACAGTAAAGAAGCTACAACTGACAACAGTTAATGTTAGTTAAGTCAGAATGACAGACATGACAGCTATTTTCACCTGATCGTTACATGTTGTACAAAGATATCACAGAACCACACAAATATGTGCAAATGCTATGCTGATTTTTAAAAGCATATAAAAAAGATTCAATTATAAAAGATGCTACACTATTTCAAACACTTTTTCCTTTTAAAGGAACACACCAGTCCAATTACAGCACACATCTTCTACCTCCAATTTTTCTCCAGCAAAAGCTAAATGACTATCAGTTCCTACTCACACACAATAGCCAGAACCTCCCCATGACCTAACACTTGCTTCGACCCCTTTAGTAGAATCCCTAGTTCTTCATACAGACAATTACACTTGAAATGGGTATGAGGCCTATGAAAATTCCTTTAAAGATCTCTGCTGTTCCCTTGAAAAAGGTAGAGGAAGTGAGGTGATGTATCTTTCTAAAGGGGAAATACTGACATACAAGCTTTCAGCAATTGAGGGTGAATAATTAAGATCCCTATATTTCTGCATAAAATATAGTATACAAATTCTCCACTCAAATGTGGATTGTGGCTTCCTTTGAATACAGAGTAGCAGCCTGCAGGGCATTGTGATGCACATTTGCACTCCTGGTAGAAGGCAAAGGGCAGATGATAACCTGAGGGCAGAATGAGTCACACAAACACCCTATGCTTTAGGTAGACATTTTCTAACACTGTGACCAAATACCTGAGGAAACAAAACATTTCTGCTTCCTTGATTTATCGTGGCAGAGGAGTGACACATCGCAGTGGCCAGGAAATGGAGATGGCTACGCATTCTTTGTCCTTCTCCTTTTATTCCATCTGAGCCCAAGTCCTACCTGGAAAGTCCTCGCTCTCACAGAGGCACCCCAGGGGTGTGCTTCACAACCTCACAAGCTACTTCTCAATTCAAACAATCATACCTTTGTCTCACCAGACAAAGAGAAGCTAATTAGGTCAGCAGTAAAGTACTTTACTAGAATGTGCTAGGCTCTAGGTTTAACTTCAGGCACAGTACACTGTATATAAGAAAGCTGACAAACCCACCTCAGCCAGTCATCAACGTCAACAGCATGTTACTGTATTCAGTCCTGATGTGACAGAAAAAAAAGACAGCCCTCCTCCCTCAAGCTTATAACCCATATAACCAGCCAGATTCCAGAGGAGAAACATTCTATACAGTATCAATCATCATCATTAAACAGAAGCCCAAGAAACCATAACAATCAAGGAGATGTGAAAACTAGAAATGCCATGGTATTCTTGGGGCAATCCTGACAAAAGGAACATTAGGTAAAAACTAAGAAAAATTTTAAAGTGTCATTTAGGAAGTGAAGGGTCTATACTCGCGAATTTCTACGATATCAGAAACTAGGAGAGCTGGGTACAAGGTAGGTAAGAACTCTGAAATCTTTTCACATTTTATGTAAAACTGCTCTAACCTGATTTATGAAAAAAAGATACTGTCAAATGGCAGAAGAAAAAAAAATAGATGTTTTGGGGACATCTGTTCAATATTCTGAATATAATACAAAAAATCATATGGGTGGCCAAACTTACTTTCAAAGAAGAAACATTTGACATTGTTAGACACTATCATAGCCTACAATTTATCAAAATTCTCCAATTAGCTAAATAAATCATGTTACAAAATCTGAGAAATGCATTCCTAGCTGCATTCTATCTGCACACTAATAACAGACTGCTGGCTCAGTGTAGGCCACCAGCTAAATCAAACTCAAGTGATGTATTTCTACATACCCCAGATACAAATCTATCCTGTGTCTCAAAATAAACAGTATGTAAAAAAATCAAACTTTAATATATATTATCTTCATTTTGCATTTTCATGGGGATAGCTTTTCACTTAAATTTAGCTCCAGTGTTACGCAGATAACCAAAATAAAATGAATTTTGGATTTGGAGCACTACTTATGAATAAACTGTACTTAGCCTACTACACTACACTACGGTACCACTGCTACATATCAGTACTACACAAGAATTCTCTGCATCGTTTTAGCAGGAAGAAAATTCTACATTTTGCAATTATATGCTCGTAAGTACTAGATATGTAGAAAGTAAACCACCTTGATCAGTTAACCCTAATAATATCTTAGTTCCTAGAACGGAATTTTCAAATCCAAACAGAGACAACCAGTGAAAAATAATCAGGTTCTAACCGCAGGTGATGAATGACTGACCTCAGCTCTATGTACAATGATGAAATACACACTTTCTCTTGGGGAGATGACCAAATGCAGGCTCCCGCTGCTACTGAGGTGGATGCACCAGACACAGGCAGTCATTTTTGTATACTCACAACCAGTTTTGAGAATAAAAAACTAAAGTTTTGCTTTTCTTACCTGAACAAATGTTTTAAAGAGACCTAACCTAATAACAAACATACCGTTCAGAATTACGATGACCAGCCACATAAATTCCTTAATTCTGAAAGATAATGTAAAAATTGTTAGAAAAGAATCCCTTGGGACCAAGGATAAGATAGGTTTTTAGACGGTTGTCATTACTTTCCTATTAAATTTAAAAGGGGAGGGGCCCCTCTCTTCCTCTTTTCTATCGTTAAGTATTAAGAACATGTAAGTCAACAGTTTGCTTACATGAGGTAAAGGGATGTTTCCTGTCTTTAATTCACTTAATTTAAATGACCAATAAAAACGAGTATACACTTGCCAATCAGGAAAACCACAATAGGAAAAAAAAAATAATTCTAGCAAGCAAGACATATTTATAAAGATAGATAAAAAGGAAAGAACACAGATATGAGTGAACAATTTTTATTGAAACCCTCAAAGATTAAAGAGGACCAAATGGTGAGTTCAGTACCATAACAAAAAAAAAAAAATCTCACCTACTGTACCATCATTCACAGGAATGAACAAACCCAAACACGACAAAATTCAAATTCTCATTGATAACTGCTACAAGTGAATGTAAATGAACTAATCATTTCATCATACCCTTCCTTTAATCATATGAAAAGAGAATTTACATGGCATAACAAAAGATATGCAAAACTTAATGAAAACACAATTCTCTTAAAATCTCACAAACTTACTTTTAAAGGATGCAGAATGCACTTGAAATGATTGAATGACTTAAGCTGATTGGATTTTTTTATTGCAAACTGTTTGAACATCAGCTTAACCCTCATGCATAGTACTCAAAAATAACACAGCTTTTCAATTAAAAGATCACATGTTAAAATGAGGAATTAAGCACTAAAAGGCTGAGTTTTTTGTTTGTTTTTAAAGGAATTTTCAAGTACCAATATGTATAGTGAGAGAATACTAATTTTGGTTACACTTTCCCCCTTACTGTTAAATATACAAACTATAATACCTTTAAAAATAAGATACCCACATAAGATAACTTTAATAGAATCATTCAAATGACAAATTGGAAAAATATTAAGCAAGAAATCACGGGACCAATAATGTCTTAATTTAAGATTATTGAAACATTTTATTATAAATCTACCCTTGTAGAGCCCAGGCTCTCTCCCTTTTGGTCCCCGCAGTTAAGAAACATTCCTCTGGTTGTACTCTAGAGACAACCTGTAATGATTTCATTTTATGGAAAAATAATTTTGTAATATACTGACTGACCAAGAAGGAAGAGAAGGTTGGTGCTTTGGGGAATACTTAGGTGAGAAAAACACAAAATTACCACGTGGAAGCTTTTTTCCCAAAGGAATGCTGCACCCATTTCACTTAAGATTAGAAATTCAGGTTAAAGGCACTGGGATGTTCTTCTCACCACGAACAGACTCAGCTACACTGGCCCTGTCTGCGTCTACTGCAATCAGCCTGCTCGTTGGGTATTTCGATGACATTCCTTACATAAAACCTAATGTAAATTAAACAAGACTGAATTAGTTTATAATGTAACTAGTTTTATAAAAATATCCAGAGTTGCTAATAAAGCACCAAGAAAAAGAGAACCTCAGGGGGAGGACTCAGCTCCTTCCGACAAGGTCACCCTTTTACAGTTTTCTCTAGTAGGAGCTCCAGAATGACAGGCGTCATCTTTGAAATGTCCTACCTATACAATCTTAGGGATACAGAACATTGCTGTGCTGGCTATACCCAAATGCCAATTTTCATTATAAATAGTTAAGAGACATGTTACAAGATTTCATGGCTTAGTCTCAAAAAGGTAAAATAGGTGCAATTTTCCTTTATGAAGTTCTCATTCTTTAATATACCATTAACATTTTGATGTTCCCTTCAGTGAACACTGACATAACTACACTGGGACTACCAAGTAACTGTGAAGTAGCTACGGTTATCTACAAATACTGTATTCTAATAGAAAATACAATATTTGTACATTCTAAAACATTGTACAAAAATTATATAAATCAAAGTTTCAAAGAAATATCCATCACGAGGCTTTCGAGTTGAAGTGAGCAAAGACGAGAGCAAATGAAAATCTCTAAACACGATGTAAACATAAATGGAGTAATGCAAACATCAAGGTATTCAAATCTACTGTATTGCTATTTTCACCTTTACCGTATCATTCTACATAGCTGTCTCCTTTCAAAACAGTAAGATAAGGGGCAGGACATTATTTTCATAACCTTATGCCATCAAATCACTCAATACAGATGCACAACACATTGAATTATACAAAATCAATTTGTTTCAAGATACAAAATTAATGTTATGTAATTAATGAAAAAAATAGGACGCTAAAAAGGTAATTATAAGAATAACCAGTTATATGCTGTATTCCCACTTATATAGATCTGATCAATAAAACATCAACACATTCACTTAGATACTGATTTAATTCATGGATCAAGGCCATATTTTCAAAGTACTTTAAGGATGCCAGGACACTGCAAAAGCTGAAGAAGAATTGAGGAACAGTATATGCTTGCTAAACAAGAACTATGTTTATTTAGCTAGTTGAGTACCTAGAGTAATAAATTTTTAATTCATGATAGCAATCCGCTCGCAAACACCCAGAAACAGGATTGAAGGGTTTTAAATATAGTTATAAAGGTCATAAAAAGTCTGATTAGACTGAGGTACATTTACTCAAAATGTTGAGATTCATTAAGTGGTAGAAACAAAATAATTAATCCCTCAAACCAATACACATTCTCAGTGTACATATAATTGGGGAGGGGGTGTGCATTAATTGGTGAAGTCCACCAAGCTGCATATCAATATTCTGTTACACCAAATAGTTTGAAGACAAGGGAAATATTCTAATATAATTTTAGATTATGTTTCTTTTGGCTAAAATAGAGCATAAGGTTGCTTTGCCATATTAAAAGTTTACTACAATAATTTTTCACATAAACATTCAGACTTCAACTCCAGGACTAAATATGGCATGATTATTTTGCTTTTAATCTGTCAAATAGCTAAAAATTGACAATTTAAAAACTACAACAAAGAAAAGGTTGAAGCAGTGAGACTCTTACATCATTGAACCACTTCTAATGGTTAACTGTTAGTACTTAACAAATTCAAAGAGTTAATGAATCCTTGCATTCATTCAGTCTTCTGTGCCTTAGCTAGGATGCATAATTACAAAAGACAGCAGGTACTGGTCAAAGCTTCAGGACAGAAAGTGCTTGATGAAATTACAGTTCTCAAGTGTGTTTGGTGAGAGTATAAGGGCAGATGCGTTGATGAAAACCATTACAAGAAGAGTCAATCTCGTGTTAAAGTGTTCAAAGATGTCACCTTAAGCAGAAAGAAAGCTTTGCTAACTTAGTCTTCTATGACTTCTTAGGCATTTCCAGAGTCTGCATCATTAGTGTTGTCGTTTAACAGGACATCTCCACACAGTGGTTATTGCTTGTTTCTAGTTCTCTCCTGAAAGAAAAAAAAAAAAAAAGATATTATGACATAAGACAATCACTATGCAGTGATTTTTAACTAAAGGAACATATACTGCAAATCATCTCTAAACACAGTTCTTCAATTACTAATTATTATCTCTATGTATCACAGTGAGATGATTATTACAAACTTTTAAATAAAGAACTCCAAAAACAAGTCTATTTCAAGATAGTTTATATCCTCTTTACTTCCCTAATTTCCTACAAAGATTTAAGATGAGAATATTATGTGTTTTTTTTTAGTCCTTCCAATGATGTTTAAATAGTGTGGTGTATCAATTTAAAAACTTTTTATTGACTGAGATGGAGACAACATTGCATTCGACTAAAGGTACATTAAGAGTTCGCTACAATTCTGAAATGAGTTTGATTAAAACATGTCCACCATTTATTCTCACATTCCGTACACTATAACTTTCACATCAAGAATAAAGAAGGCCCAAGACTATCTCCCAATGGGGGTTGTTTGCTATTCTAGGGGGAGAAAAAAGGGGGAACAGGAATGAGAGGGAGAGGGGAAGGGGTGACTACATAAGACCACATTGGACAGGAAAGTATGATGACAGGCAATCAGTTACAATGAGAATAATGTACTTTGTAAAAAGAAATAGAATGCTTCAGTTTGAAGTGTAATAAACTTTTTGAAAAAGAATTTATTATGCATACAGTGTTCTACCTGCATAAATGTCTGCAGGCCAGAAAAGGGTACCAGATCTCATTATAGATGGTTGTGAGCCACCATGTGGTTGCTGGGAATTGAACTCAGGACCTCTGGAAGAGCAGCCAGTGCTCTTAACCCTGGGCCTTTTCTCCAGCTCCCGTGATACTTTTAAAGTATCACCAAAATACACAGATTGCATACTTAACTCATTTCTCTTTATAAAGCGTAACTTTCAATTCAGGGGACAGAAAACGAGATAATAAAAGTATAAAAGAAAATATTCCCACTAATCTAATAGATGAGAAGACTTAAAAATCATAGATTAGAAAAGAGGGTGAACATAAATATGCTTACATTTTTATAACATGAATCACCATAAATGTACATTGATCCATGAAAATGAAAACTAAAGAATTTTTAAATCTCATATTACATATTTATGAAAAATAAATCCAAAATACACGGACAAGGAAAAGTTTAAAAACAGCAGAAACATATTACAACATAGAACAAACAATGTCAGACAAAATATTCAATAATCTGAAAAAAAGGCTACTGCTACAGATAGACATTTAAATGGTATAAACAGTACATTCGAGTTTCCAAAAGCTCTAACTATACTAAACACAACTTTACACTAAATAGAATTACAAGAAATAGTAAATTCATGATAGGAGAATATAACATGTTTCTTAGTAAAACAGACAAGTACATCAAAAGTTAAACATAGAAACCACAAAAAAACCTGAATTTAGGCTGTGTATTCTAACTGGGACACCAAGGTGATGACCCCATGGCAGCCCAGAACCCAGAATAAAAGACTGATAATGCCAGGTGAGTTCAGAGTTGTTTTCCTTACTTTGTAAAAACCTTTGCTGGGGGAGGGGGGGGAGAGAAGGGGGTCAGTCAACTTGTGGAATCGCTTTCCTCCTTCCACCTTGTAGGTTCCAGAGTTCAAATCAGCTCATCCCACTTGAGCACCTTCACCTATTGAGCCATTTTGCTGGCCCAAAGAATCAGTTCTGCCTGCCGGTGGTGGGGCACACCTTTAATCCCAGGACTTGGGAGGCAGGAGGATCTCTGTGAGTTCAAGGCCAGCCTGGTCTACAAGTGCTAGTTCCAGGAGAGGCTCCAAAGCCAGAGAAACCCTCTCTCAAAAAAACAACCCAGAGAGAATCAGTTCTATATACACACTCTATTTTCGAGCATCAATTTCAGAAGCAAAATGGACAAGGCGAAACACATTCACATCACACCTGAAATTTCTTACACCTCTCAAACTCTTCAAAAAATACTGTTGTTGGAACATTTTTCTATGAATAAAATGTTAATTATAGCCCAACAAAGAACTAAAAATTTACATGAGTAGAATTTCAAAAACCATTGAAAGCTACGATATAATGTGTTCATTACCCAACACAATAAAACAAAAATAAAAAGTTAATTTTTCCTAACAGTGAATGACTGGTTTGAAATCTGAAATAAAGCCAGTCTTGGTGGCACACCACACACAATCCCTGCACCTGAGGGGCTGAGGCAGAAGGATCATGAGCTCTAAGTGAGACAGAAATAAATAGGAAATCTTGTCTAACAAACAAATAATTAAACAATCATTAAATTGAAATAAAAGAACTAAAAATGCCAGTAAGTTGAGAAGGTTAAGACAAAATGAACAACTTTTAAAAAGGCAGAGTCAGTGAGAAACACTGAACCAATATTTAAAGTGTAGTCTCAAGACTAACTGATGGACTAGATTAAAAGTAAAGAAGTGAAGTATTAAACTGGCAAGACTTCTCAGTGAAGAAAGGAACTTGGAATGAGAAGATTTGAATCTGATCCACAGAACCCACATAAGTTAAGGAGAATCAATTTCTAAGTTGTCCCCCTAACCTCCACAAGCATGTTGTGAAATGCATGTTTCCCTCCCCAATTCTTCATACACAGGAAAACAACAATTATATCTACATGATTTTTTAAAAAGAGAAACAACATAGTACCCTGCCATCTAAAAGATAGAGAAAAAGTAAGGGGCAAGCAAAGAAATAGGGAGTATATTAGATTTAAAATGTTTTCAAATGAGGACTTCAAATAGATATTGAGATAGACGCTCCTGGATACAAAAAGGACCATTCAGCATGGGAATACAATTGGAAATTACCAGTGCATAGTAAATGTCCACCAAGAAAACTTGTCTCCCCAAAAATATATAATCCATTTCATTCAAAACAGTAATAAAGCTGAGAGATGACACAATGGGTAAAGTGTTTGCCTCTCAGACATGAGGACCTGAGTTTTTATCCCTGTATGCACAAAAAGATGGCCAGGAAATATACATCAGTAAACCACATGAGAATTCCTGGAGGCTAGGATAGCACTTGCACTATAACAACCTGAGACTCTGTCTCAAACTGATAAGCATACACACACCTACTCATGACTACACATACACATCACATGAAAGAGCAAGAGACAAAAAGAGAATGAGAGAGAAAGAGAGAACAAAAACTTACATTTACACTACCAAAATAGTCAAAGTATACATTTACAAGAAGGTTTTTGTAGGCTACCAGCTACAGATCAGAAGATGAAACTCAGAAATGATAGACTGCCAATGATCTCATCGACTTGTTATAAAATGAAAATTTACCACACAATTGTTATAAAATGAGAACTTAGCACACAACTGGCATCACAATTACATGTGCTAAAGAAAGTTGAAGGAAATATGATTTACATACAAAGGATCACCATTTAGTGCACTTAGGAAAGGATTATTTATGCAAAAAGTCATTAGACACTTTTTTATGTTATAATCCAAAGTGATTCCAGAAAATTTAATTTTTATTTTAATGGCTGTCACTTTAAAAAATAATATAGGAAAAAATCCTTCTCCCATTTTCCATCAATAGCAAAATACATCCAGTAAGCAGAGACACTGATACAGGAAAGCTCCTGAGTCTTTGAGGAAAACAACCGTGTAGTCTAAGTGGTCTCTACCCCAAGCTAAGCCAAAAACACTGGAGAGATGAAAGACCACCATAGGCCAGGACCAGAAGTATGCCTGAGGAGATTAAACCCTCCGCATATTTACTGTCTTCTATTCTTTTGAAAGGACTAAGACTCCTTCTTTCCACTATCCTAAGGAGGCCCTGCAGCTTCTTTTGTATCATAGACAAACTGCCAATTTTTCTTCTAATGACCTGAAGGCTTATCACCATTAGTATCATTTCCATAACCAGACCTAAATCTGCAAATGAGCCATGAAGGCATTTAAGAAACCATAGCACCCAGCAAAAGAAATGAACAGAAGCTCTCAGCTGAAGGAGGTAGTGAGTGCCTGGAAAAAAAGCAAAGCAAAACACTCAACGTCAAACGCAGCTAACAAGCATATTTTTTGTTAATTTAAGAGATCTAATTTTCATCCCAGAAAAGGTCTCTATGGGTAATCCTGGCTGTCCCAGAACTCACTCTGTAGACCAGATAGGCCTCAAACTCAGACATTTGCTTGATTTTGCCTCCCAAGTGTTAGGATTAAAAGCACAGGTCACCCCTACCCAACAAAATCTAATTTTTTTTTATTTGAAAAGAAAAGCAGCTTGTATATTAAAGGGGTAAGTAATTACTCACTAATAATATCTGAGTTAGGGAAAAAAAACCAGTAAAGTACAAAAAAAGTAAAAAACTTAAACTACTGGATAGATAAAAGAAAACCTAAGAGACACTAACACAAACAAGTAATCTAAACTAAAATCACTAATACTAAGTGATCTATGACAAACAAACACATTTCTGTTACAGCCATGGCAAAATTCATAACTTCAATCTAATGAATGTCTGAAACAAACTGAAATTAAGGGACATTAAAAACAAAACAAAACAAAACAAACAAAAAAAAAAACCTTACTGGCTGGAGAGACTGCTCAATGGTAAGAGCACTGGTTGATTTGATTCTCAGCATACACATGGCATCTAGCAATCATACTGTAACTAACATTCCAGGTAATTTGACAACCTCTTCTGAACTCTATCGCCAGTGCACACACATGGTGCAGTCATACATGTAGGCAAAACGCTCAAACAACATTAACAAAAAACAAACAAACAAAAAAACCCGCAGTCAGTAATCTTTAAAAATACAAGGAGAAACAAGACAGAGAAACTGTAATAGACTGGAGGTAATTGAGACAACATTAACAAAATGCAACTCTGGTATCCAGACAGTTTTGAAACAGAGGATAAAAGAAAATATACCAAGATGTAGGAAAAGTCTGTACTAACATTACAATGGACCATGACTGAAGTTAAAATAGCTAATAGACTCAATATTTCAGGAAATTTGCTAACTTATATGAAAAAACATTTGTAATGTGAGAAAAATCTATGCTCCAGGGTTGAACAGGGGATGGGGCTGTGGCCCAATGGGTAAAGGCAAGTATTGCACAAACTGATAACACTCCCAGAATCCATGTGGAAGAACTGCACAAAACTGCCCTCTGACAGGCACATGTGCATTATAATGTGCACAAACTCAATATACACATATGTGTGCACACATGCATGCATGCACGCACACCACACTAAATGGTGTTAAAAGAGTATGTAGGATAAGGACAGTTTCAGTGGATTAACACCCTATCCACTCAGATGTCAGAGCAAGTGTGATAGCCTTTCATCCTCCTCTACAAAACTAACTCTTCTATTAGAAAGCAAAGGACAAGAGAACGTAAAGAAAACAGAACAAGCCTGTAGTAAACAACAAATTCTAGATTATAGTGTCACTAGGAAAAGGGCAATGAGTATGCTTTGAATAAAGAGGTTGTTTGAACTTCCGTTTCTATTATATCACACCTGCTCTTTTTTACGCAGCCACAATATGATCACAATATGAACAGGTCCCAGTGCCTAAATCTACACTTACAAAGTAAGTATTTCAGTGGTTCATGAGATGGCTCATAGGTTTAAAGCACTTACAGGACACATGGCAACTCTCTAAGCCCACAATCCAAGATTCTAAAGTTATCCTGTACACTCTGAAAACACCCTACACTCATGTAAATATTTTTTTAATATTTCAAAACTTGAAAAACAGTCTACTAATATATAAACAAATAATTGCTTGGCAAAGATCAAATAAACTAAATGTGTACTACAGAAACAGGAAAAATGAAGAAGTTAACAGAAAAGGTTTTTTTACGAAGTGTTTCCTGAATGCTGGGCAAGCACCCTACCAAGAAGGTGCTTCTTCAGCCTGGTAAAGTAGCTCATTGTCAAAAAAAAAAAAAAACAAAAACAAAAACAAAAAAAAAAAACCAAACAAGGTCCAGTAAGCTTTGAACTACATTCTGCCAAAAATGCCATGATTATAAAGCAAATCTTCCACATACCAATTGGATCTTCAGATGAGACTCTAGGCCCAGCTTAGATTGACACTTTGTAACCATCTAAAGCTGAGACTCCATCCAACACCGTGCCCTGATTTCTCCGAAAAAAAAAAAAAACTGTGCTAAGTCACTGAGTTTTATGCTATTTGGTAACCAGAGATAACTAATACAGTAAATATTGCGATCCATCAGCAGCAAGATCCTGTGCATGGAATAGCATATATTCAGAACTGAAAGGGGAAAAGAAGTCTTTCTAATTTTATTAGTATTCATTTCATGGGTTAAAATAGACAAGAAATATGCCTAAAGATTGGGGGAAGGGGCACTACTCTAAAATCAAGAACTTTGGTTTAATGCCAAGTCAATTTTTCCTGAGGAATGAAATCACATGTAAATTCCTTCCCATGAAATAAATACTTTGGTGATGTATATCTCAAATCCCAGCATTTGAGAGGCAGAGGCAGGTGGATCTCTGATCCATGCCAGTTTGAACTACAGAGTTCTATGATAACCAGGGCCTACACAAAGAATCCCTGTCTCAAAACAAAAAAGAAAAAAGACTTTGATTAAAAAAATACATCTTACATTTGTTTATTAAATTAAATGGTTTAAGGTACATTCCTATAATGCCACACTTGGAAGGCATAAGCAGAATTAAAAATTAAAAAACAACTAGAGTGAACCAGTGACTTAAAACAACAAAGCCTGCAATACGTATGATCCTCAATTAGCTGTGGAAAGCTATATATGAAATTTTCTTCAGCTTAATAATATGGATTCACAATTAAAGTATGGAAGAAATATCTCCCCGAAGGTCTATGACTAATCTGAACAACCAGAGAGGCCATTAATTCCCTGAAAGCTTCCCTTTTTTTGTTTTTGTTTTTTCGAGACAAGGTTTCGCTGTAGTTTTAGAGCCTGGCCTGGAACTAGCTCTTGTAGACCAGCCTGGTCTCGAACTCAAGAGATCCACCTGTCTCTGCCTCCCGAGTGCTGGGGTTTTTAAGCAACACTGGAATATAAGGTAACCACTACAAGCTGGTGGAGGGAGGGAAGATCAATGTCATAAAATGTTAACCAAAGATATTGTCATGCCAACAAAAACAAAAATAGGCCAGCTATTAAAACTAAAACTTAGAGCTGGAGAGATGCCTCAGTGGTGAAGAGCAAGGGGGGGGGCGAGGTTCCCAAAGGACCTGGGTTCAATTCTAAGCACCCACATGGTAGCTCACAAATCATCTTTAATTCCAGTCCCAAAAGATTTTATCCCTCTTCTGGCCTCCACAGGAACTGCACACATGGTAGACAGACATACACACAGGCAGAACCTCTGAATCCACAAAAAAAGGGTTAAATTAAAAAAAAAAAATACACAGGCACACATAAAAAACCCATACCAAATTGTCCATTGACAATAAGAATTTATAAGAGTAAAAATAATATAGGATATAAAAAGCGATTCATTCAACTAAAAAAAACTAAGGATTACCTAGATGCCGGGTTCTCTGAAAAGGAAGGGGCAAAGCCCGACCCTCCTGTCTTTCCCTGAGTGAAAGACCCAGCCCTCCTAAATGGACATGGGGAAACACACCCACTGAGTCTGGAGTCTGTCAAAGCAGGATCTCATTTAATAGTATCAGGCTGGAACTTATATAGGGTTGTGATGGGGTTGAGAAGGTTGGGATGGGTTGAGGCGGAGCAAAGAACACAAGAGCCAATAATATTCTGCCACATTAGTGGTGGCTGGGCAGAGGCAGGCCTAGGTCAAGTAACCAGAGACACATCTCCAAACTCGAGCTAGGCTCAGGAAGTTACACTAGGCCCCACTAATTTCAAGTTAGGCTTAGAAGTTACACTGGGCCTCATGAGGCTCAACACCTAAACAGTCTACTACTGTGAGGATACTAACATTTATACTAGACAAATAGAGTCAGCTCTTCTCTATTTTCCTGTCATGTTCAAGGATTATATTAGCTTTACCAAAGGGGCAACATATACAAATAATTCTGGAAGCAAATCAAGATTGGGCAAGCATGCTTCCATTTTCAGATAAGTTTATCAAAATCAGTGTTACGTATCAGAACTTTAAATAATAAGCCTAAGGCACTAGTCCTTAAATTATCATAATTTGAATAAACTTCAGAAAGATAAAAATGGTCATGTGTCCCCCAATGTTCTACCTAGAACTGAACTTCTATAACTTACTGTTTGCACAAATGGAGAAATCAAATCAATAGGCAGCATTTACTAAATACAACTAACAACCAGTAAAAACTAGAGATTAGACCAGTAAGGAAAAAAATTCTAAGACACTCAAACTCTGAAAAGTCTTTAAAGCACTGGTTCTCAACCTGTGGGGTCACGACCATTTGAAAAGTGCAAGACCCACAGATATGCTCTTCGACCATCAGAAAACAGATATTTACATTATAAATCATAACAGTGGCAAAAATCAGTTACAAATTAACAAGAAACATAATTTTATGGTTATGTAGTAAAGGGTCTCAGCACTGGGAAGGTTGAGAACCATTACTTTTGAGACTCAAATTTACTCACTTGATAGTATCTTAATACGACTGCCTTTGTGAGGGCCCTACTACCTGATACTAAGAAATAAGAGAGCAAACGCTGCTCCTGCTCCTCTCAATCAGCCTCGAAACCTATCAACAAAGATTATCGACAGGTTTTTTTCTTCTTCCCATATTCCTTCCCTCTGCCAAGGATAGTGGTTTCCAATCATAAGCCCATTTTGTTTGCTAGACTCTTTCTGTTCTTGAGTAACAAATATGTTTAACTGAAAATATGTTCAGGATTCCTGTGGAGGGGCATTGTTCCAATATAACCAATAATTAACAGGGATTATCAGCATTTCAATTCTTTTTTTAATTTTGTTGAAATGTCTCTTTCAACCTTTCTTTAAAAAACTATGGAGGCAGCCAGGCAGTGGTGGCACGTGTCTTTAATCCCAGCACTAGGGAGGCTGAGGGAAGTGGATCTCTTAAGACTTGAAGGCCAGCTTGGTATGCAGAACAAGTTCCAGGACAGTCCGAGCTATTACACAGAGAAACCCTGTCTCAAAAACAAAACAAACCAAATAAAAAAACCTATGAAGACTCAGGCTTTACCTACCTGAGGAATGTAATTCTATACTCCCTCTTTGCACTCTGAAATAAGATTTCACTTTTCATTCCTAGGGTCAGAGAGGAGACACTGTTGATTACCCTGCTTATCTTTCCTTTGTAGTATCTTTCATTTAGGAAGTTTTAAATATTTTTCTCCTTTCATGTCTTTTATCATTTCAAACTAGCCTGCTAATCATGTGGGAATCCCATTATTCCACCCGGAAACATGGGTTTAGGAAAGTTTCCTAAAGTATCTTTTACACTGATTGTTTTCTTCCTGCTTCTTAAAAAACACAGACCACTTCTCTTTCCACTGTATCTTTTTCCTTTCCTATTTTCATGTCTATTGCTCTGCATCTGGTTAACTTTTCCAATTTGAACTTCTGAAACTTAAACAAGCTCTAACATGGGAATATAGTCACATTAAACTGCTAACTAACCTACTTTTTTAAACTATGATAATCATATTCTAAGTTTTCAATAACACTTTTTAGTATTCTACTCCAATTATGTAAGAACAGGAATCCTTCCGACAAGGAAAACTGTAACTTTTGTTTTATATGTGTATAATGTATGTGTGTATATATGTATGCATGTATGTATATAGCTGCTTGTTTCTGAAGGATCTCTCTGTATAGCCAGAGCTGTACTGGAAGTCTCAATGAATAACAGACTGGCCACAAACTCAGAAATCGCCTGCCTCTGCCTCTTGAGTGCTGAGATTAAAAGTGTATACAACTACACCTGGCTTCTACATTTTAAACTATCTTTTGTTCCACAAATTATCCAATTTTTTTATCTTGGTCCTTTCATGAAACTTCATTTTACTCAAATATAATGAAAACCGGCTGTTCAAATCTAAAAACGTGTGCACATCAATGAGTTAGTACCTATATAAATACTGATGAAAGATTTTTCTTGCAGCTTCAAATTTCCCTGAAATTTCTCATTCTGAAATAAGAGAACCTGACATGTAAACTTATATGGCAGAAAGGATATGCCAAGTTGGCTCCTCCACAGGAATCTTGTTGACTAGAAAAACAAGCTGGAGAACACTCATTGCCAAAATAATTATGAGTGGGGAAAACTCAGTAAATAAAATATATATTAGAACATCAAAAATAAAACCAGAACTAAATTTTCAGACTAGGTAGGAAAGGGATGTAAAAAAAATGTACTTGGTGGTAGAAGAAAGAAAAAGCTTCTATGTATTTCTTTGCCATCTTTTCTCCTGGACAATCTTATCTCACTTCAACAGACTCAGCTACAGAAAAACAAAAAGTTCCAAGTCTGATTCCCATGTCTCTCAACTGTCTAAATTAGGAAGGCCCCTACCTGTATTTCTCAAAGATCCTAAAATAAGCATATCCCAAATGACATCTTTACCTATATCACACCATCCACATTCCAAATTGTTCTCCTGATCCACTGTCGTATAATAGCAATTACAATCTGACTATTACTTAACCGATAAGCTAAAAAGACAGCCTGGCAACTTCTGATCCTTATTTTCCTCACTTCCCTCATTTGACTAGGAGAAAATTCTATTTAGCAATTCATTTAAACAGCTCCTACAAAGGTGCAAACAGCAGTCTGAATCACTCCAAAGCCAAGTTTCTAAATGTTCAGCACAGCAAAACTGGCACCAGCATCACCTAGGGTGCTTGTCAGAAATGTAAAGTCCTTACCAAATACAAAAAAGGGGTGACACTCCAATAAATACTTCTGAGTCTAATGGTTTAGAAACCACTACAGATCCTTATCTCAACAGAATTCACTACTGAGTGCTCAATGTTAGCTGAAGAAGTTTTCTCTGCTCCACATATGTAAGAAGTCATATGATATTTGAGTTCATACAAAGAAATGAATCAGTGCTGTGTTTTCATGAAGAAAGAAGTGTGTGCCTTAACATTAAATTTCCCACAAATATTTCCACAGTGGCTAATGTTATTTACTCTTGCTTACTTTCAATAGAAACTTAAGTGTACTAAAATTCATTTCCTACCCTTCCCATTCCCTTTACATTTAAAATCAGGCCCCCCAGTTGATGTTTAGTTCTGAAGAGAAAGCAACTCAAGCCTGTCTTACCTTGGGACCACATTCCAGGCTTATACAAATATATGTAAACTCAGAAAGTCTCCCCAAGTCTCACAGAAAGTGTGCTAACAAGAGAAAATCAAATACTACAGATCGAATTCGAAAGGTCATACCCTTCTAATTTCCCACCCTAATGTCAAATTCTTGCTCTATTTTGTTGGAAATGTTTCGGTTCTATAAATTATATACTATAGTTTTACATAACACACACACATACACCACCTTTCTCTTAAAACAAAGCACTAACAAATACTTGAGAATACAGCAACATAACAGAGCAGGAACTAGAAGGGCTGCAGATAAGAGGTAGATTAGAGTTTTGTTTTTTAAGCTTTTGATTTCTCTCAGAATAAAGTTCATAAACTGTAACATTCAGAGGCATAAAAGAATGTCATCCCATGCACTCCACCCATGAGGATAAATCCTCACACAAAAGATTACTGGATTTGTACTTACCCTTCGCATGGCTTCCTCCTCCTCTTGACGCTTTTCATAATGTGCAAAGTCATCAAAGATTGAGGTGGTATGCTTGAAAGTAGCAATTATTTTAAGCACTTGCTTTGCTTTCTCTAGGGGTACTTCTTGAGTGTCCCTTGAATTGGTTACTGGTTTGTTGTCATTATTTTCTAAGCGAATATGTCGTAATTGGTTATTGGGAACATCTTTGACAAAGATCCATTTAACTTCAAATTTGCCCTTCCACTTATCCTGAGACCAGACACCAGCATATGCATTATAGTCCACAACAGACTTCATTTCAGCCACTCCACAAAAATGTCCACTGCCATTCACACTGAAGAGCAAATAGAGTGGGCCTTTCCCATTCAGGGAACGATAAGCTGCATCCAAACGCTTATTACCATGCTCAGTACTACACCAGATAGAGTACTTAATGGAACGATGTATATCATCCTCAGAATAGCTCTTAATTATAAACACACGTCCATTCTTCAGGTTCCAATCAAAGTCTTTGGGATTATAGTTGTTTATGGCCTTTAGTTTTTCCAGCACTGGATGCACCTCTACACTAGCAGGTGAAGCACTAACAGGTACAACACCTAAACCAAAGTTTTCATTGCCCGCTCCATTATTCTGGTTGAAGCCAGTTCCCCTATTCCGAGGAGCTACCCAGCGATTCTGCAGTTGAGGCTGTTGAGACTGCACTTGGTGAGGCTGGGCCTGTGGCTGAGGTCCTTGTTGCTGCTGTGGTTGTGGTGGCTGAGGCTGCTGTTGAGGCAGTTGGCTTTGCACCAATGGTGGTGGTTGAATTAATGGCTGAGGCTGCTGGATTATAGTTTGAGGAGGCAGAACTGGTTGGGTTGGTGGAGCCTTTACCACTGACCCCTTTTCATCCCAAGTTCCAATATTCATGTTGTGTTTTATAGGAGGTGGTGGCACAGCAGAACCCCCAATGCCCACATTGCCCTTGGGTTTAAGTTTCGGTTGAGGTTTGGCAGGCTTTCTGGCAATAGCAGCCCAAGAAGTTGGTTTAGGTGCTGCACTGCTAACAGGGGGCACATTATTGGTTGCAATGCTAGTCATACCACTGCTGCTCAAGGCTGTACCTACAGTTTTTGTCACTGCAGCCGTCAGGTCACCACCAATTTTCAGTCCAGTCATGCCTTGCTCAATACTACTAATGCCAGGCACCTTACTCAAAGTATCATTGCCAAATCCAGCCTGTCCATCAGTAATAGCTCTCCCAAGAGAACTAGGTGGATAGCCATAACTGCTACTATAAGCAGAATTTTGTGTTGATTGTCCCTGAGATCCACTTGTCCCCCATGTAGAGAAATCAGCATTACCAGGAAAAAAGTTAAATCCATGTTGACCAAGAAATGGAGGGGTATTTCCTAATGCCCCTGGTTGACTAAAAACACCATCTGGTATATAATGATGCTCTCCATTACTCATTTGTCCATAGGTTGTCAGATACGGCATAGGCTGGTCTCCAGCCGTGGACCATGCTGCTTCCCCAAGAGAATATGGAAATCCAATGGATGGAGCATAGTAACTAGGCATATATGGATCTGACATTGGTGGATAGCTGTTATTCTGCAAAACAGAAAACCATAATCAGTAGTGAAATGTACACTTGAGAAGAGAAAAAGGTTATCTGAAATACTGAAAGCAGTTTTAAGTGAATGAAAGAGATGTCCCTAGTCAACATAATTAAAATTTCAAATCAATATTATCAGCAGAAATATTTACAGATGAGTACCATCACCCTTAAGACAGTCTTGCTGCCCAGCTGGACTCAAACTCACTCTACAGAAGACTGGCTTCAATCTCACAATCCTTCTGCTTCTCCTAAGTGCTAGGATTAAGCATATAAAACTATGTCAGTGGTAATTTTGAAATATTACAAAATTATGGCATTTTTAGGCAGAAAATGTAGGAGTAAAATAAAGATTGTGTTTCTGTCACAATTTTAAAATACTGAAATTTTTACAAAATGCTAATAAGCTTTACAGGTACAAAATTAAAATGTACATACAAGATTTAAACAAATTTGGAATATTATGTCAAACAGAGGAATTAAATTGCAGTCTTTATGATGGAATCAAGTACTGCCACTTAAATTTTGTACTTAATTAAGAAAAAAGTGTAAAAATGCTGTATCTGAGAAGAAAAATCAGTATCATGCCTACACCATGAAACACAATTAACTGTTTTACTCTCCTCTACTTTAAAGACAAAATACAATAAAATATACTCTTCATCTTAATGCTGCTCTCAGAAGACACAGATTTTTAAAAGAAAATCCCATTGCCAATAGGGAGACTCCAGAGGCTCTCAAAATAACAGTCTGTTGCTATAGCACTTTGGCTGCCCATCAGAACTAGATGATAAGACCCCACTACTGAAGACAACGTACACTTTCAGTTGCAGTAATCAAGAAGTCAAGAAGGAAATAAATTAGAAGCGTCCTCTCTTCCTCTACTTGATAGCTTGCATAGTGTAAGACGACATTGGATCTTATGGGAGGAAGGCATCAAGTATGGACCCAGCTGTAGACCTTTCAAGTTGCAATACCAACCTGCCAGACAAGATGCCTTCAATGGTACAACACCGGCATGACTGTTATGAGGGGTAACCAACAGCTTGCTGCTCGGGTAGATTTAAAGCCTGTCTGCACCGCATGACATGGCTGGGGAGGTCACAGGCCCTAAAGAAAAACCTACTACTGTTCCTTTTCTGAATAGATATGGTGTCAAAGTATTTATTCTCATAAATTAACAATGCTTTCAGCATTAGTCAGAGAAGCTTGTTTGCAACAGGTAGCAGTTAATACAGAGAATCCATAACTGGTCCAAGTGCTAAGAGGTGATACGTGCTTAGCACTAAATGGGGTATCTGTATCACCCTCTCCAAGGCTCTGGGAATACCATGAATGGAGAATGCAAAGAGTCTAATAGCCAGAGGATAAAAAGTACAGGGGAAAAAAAAATCTATCTTCTGGACATGGCATAGCTGTTATACCTAGGAACTCTCAGGAACAGTGGCTATCTAAATAAGATCTGCACAAGAATTAGGCCCAGATCGTTATATCATGGATGGGGAAGGGAACACTCATAAGGTCCCATAACTCTCAAGTGAGTTATAGGAAGATAATGGCTGTTGGGGTACAGGAATCCTCTACCCAAGCTTATACAAGCAATTTTAAATGTCTTATACAGAAAGAAAGGAAGAAGGAGGGGGGAGGTCTTGTTAAGAAGAGACTACACAGGAGAGGAAGGGGATAAGAAGGTAACAAGGAGAACCAAAGTTGTGTGTGTGCGCACGCGCAAGAGAGAGAGAGAAAGAGTGAGAGAGAGAGAGAGAGAGAGAGAAGGGGGGTAACAGGAGCCAAGGGAACAAACACCCATTCAACAAAGACAAAATCAGATTATTAGCACATAGATCTACAATCATCCCAATACCAAAAGGTGTTAGAAGAAAAACTCCAACCTAAGGTTAACTACCACCATGAAAACCATAGGAAATATCAGAACAGCAAAGTCAAAATGGAAACACTCTCTCCCTTATCTCTCTCCACCACAACCACAACAAAAACAAGAAAATAATGGGAAAAACAATTATTTGTCATTAATCTCTCTCATTATCAATGGACTGAATTCCACCAATAAAAACAGACTAACAGAATGGATGAAAAGCAAGACACAACCTTCTGCTGCATCCGAGAAACACACCTGAACATCAAAGATAGACATTACCTCAGGGTAAAGGGTTGGAAAAAGATATACCAAGAAAATGAACCTAAGAGTCAAGCGGGTAGCCATTTTAATATCTAATAAAATAGACTTCAAACCAAAAGTAATCAAAAGAAAGAGGACACTACATAAGCCACCAAGATATAACTGAATTTTTAACATCTATGCCCTAAATACAAGGGTACCCTAATCTGTAAAAGAAACACAATTAGAGCTAAAATCATACATTGACCCTCACACATTGATGTTGGGAGACTTTAATACCTCACTCTAATCCAGATAGAAACAAAGAAATGCTGGAGCTAACGGACTTTCTAAACCAAATGAACCTAGAAGATATCTACAGTCACACAAACACTTTTAAAAGACTACACCTTCTTTTCTGCATCTCAAGGAGCTTATTCAAAACTGACCACTATGTGGGATTCCCCTCTGTATGCTGTGAATACCACTGGTTAATAAAAAAAAACTGCTTTGAGCCTATAGCAGAGCAGGGCAGAAAGAATTAGGTGGAGAAAACTAAACAGAATGCTGGTAGAGAGAAGGCAGAGTCAGAAAAGTCATGTAGCCCCTCCGGAGACAGACACCAGAACTTCACCCAAGTTCCGGTGAGCCACAGTCTCATGGTGATACATAGATTAATGGATATGGGTTTAGTTTAGGATATAGGAGTTAGCCAGAAATACGCTTAAGCCAAATAATATGGTTTCTGTTGATTACTTCAGGGTTGAGCAGCTGGGAACAAACGAGCAGCCTCATACTATAGACCACGTACTCAAGACACAAAGTAAGTCTCAACAGATACAAGAAAACCAAAATGACACCCTCCATCCATTCAGACCACCTTAGATTAAAGCTAGATTTCAACAAAAGAAACAGAAGCTCTACAAACTCATGGAAACCGAACAACTTTCTACTCAAGGAACAATGGGCCAAAACAGAATAAAGACAGACTTTCTAGAATTGAATGAAAAATAGACAAGCCACATGCCTTTAATCCCAGCACTTGGGAGGCAGAGGTTTGCAGATCTCTGTGAGTTCAAAGTCAGTCTGGTCTACAAGAGCTGGTTCCAAGAACTGCTCCAAAGCTACAGAAAAACCCTGTCACAAAAAAACAAAAGAGAGAGAGAGAGACCCAAAAAGAGAAAATTGCAAGTTATGATCAAACTCAGGGCTGAAATCAGTAAAATAAAAACAAAGAGAAAAACACAAAGAATCAAAGAAATGAGTTGATTCTTTGAGAAAAATCAGTAAAACTGACAAACTCTTACCCAAACTAATAAAATCAGAAACAAAAAGGGAGTTACAATAGCAGACACCAAGGAAATCCAGAGAATCATAAGAATATACTTCAAAAACCTATATTGCATCCAAATGGAAAATCAAAAAGAAATGAATCATCTTTTCAATAGATACTGCTTACCACTGGTACAGGAAAAACATTTCTGAACAGACCCCCCTTAGGACAAGCAGTAAAACCAACAATTAAGCAATAGTACCACATGAAACTAAGAAGCTTCTGCATAGCAACGGACCCATTAATATCACAAAATGGCTCCCTACAGAATGAAAATTCACCAACTCCAGAGCTGAAAAGCACTAATATCCAAAATATATAAAGAAGTCAAGAAACTAGATAGATATAAAAAGCCAAAAAAATCCAATTAAAAAATGGGGAACAGATATATACAAAGAATTCTCAATAGAGCAATCTCAAATACACTTAAAATCATTAGCCATCAGGGAAATGCAACTCAAAACTACTTTGAGATTTCATCTCACACCTATCAGAATGGCTAAGATCAGTAACGCAAATGACATCACATGCTGGAGAGAGTGGAGCAAGGCAAACACTCCTCCACTGCTGGTGGGAGCACAAACTTGCACAGTCACTATAAAAATCAATAAGGCAACTCCTCAAAAAGTTTGGAAATGATTTACCTCAAAATTCAGCATACCACTTTTGGGCATATACCCAAAAGACACTCTATCACACTACAAGGACACTGCTGCTCTACTCATAATAGCCAGAAGCTGGAAGGACCTAGACATCCTTCAACAAAAGAATGAATAGAGAAAATGTGGTACTTTTATACAAGGGAGTATTAGTTGTTAAAATGACATGCAATTTGCAAGCAAATGGATGGAAGTAGAAAAAGAAATCACTGAGTGAGGTAACTCACTCAGTATTGACATTAGCCATTAAATAAGTGATAATCAAGCTACAATCCATAGATCCAGAGTGGGCAGGTATTGATGAAGGGTTCAGAGGGAACACATAGATCTCCCGAGAGGGAGAAATACAATGACCTTTACGGGTGGACTGGGACAGGGTTTCACCACATTCCCCTGGCTGACCCAGAACTCACTCCACTAAACAAGGCTGGTTTCAGAGATACTCCTGCCTCTGAGTGTTGGGATTAAAGGTGTCCACTACTACTGCCCAGACAACATATCCATTTCTTAATGTTTTTCTTTTTAATAAATTTTTATTAATTCTCTGACACTTAGGATTTTTTTTAAAGTCATTTGCAGCTGCCTCTCTCAACTCTTCTTAGGTTCAACGCCTTTCTCTTGTTTCAAAATTTAATTTTATGTCTCATTTAAAAATTTTTTTATTCATTATAAAAAGTTACAGACTTATAATTCTCCTTAAGAAAATTAGTTCGTCACTGGATCAGCATTCTCATTTATAAGTAGTATTAAATATCTTATTTTCTTGTAGAAATAAAATTTATAAAAAATGTGCAAAATTCAAGTATACCTATGGAACTGAAACCAGTGTCCAAATATAGACCGTCTTTCACTAAAAATTTTCAGTTCTTAATTTTGTCTTGACCT